AGCCCCAAAAATTTGGTTTAACAGCTATATTCCGTCTTATACAAGTAGCACCGAATGGGCATTGTAGACACTTGACGTACAGTATTGTTGACTACTACACCACGTGATACCCCTTTTTGCATGCTGTAAAAACCAGGGCCACACAGATTGCAAGAGTATTTCAAGACAGTGATATTTATTCGGCAAAAGCTTTTGTTTTGTCCTGTATATACAAAATGTGTCGCATTATCCAACTCGAGCTTATTTCCGATTTCGCACTGGATGGTCGTATTATCATTCATGTATACGAAGCTTCCGTTGGAAATCTCAAGTACGGGATAGGAATAAGTTTCAGCAGCAGACGATAACATAGTTGTATTTTGAAGATATATAGGTCCCCTACTTTCGGAAAGGAAAAAGGTCGTTTTGTAAAATGTAGTATCGTTTATCGTGATGTTCTTCTTCGTTGCAGAGAAGAAACAATCTTTGAAATCCACCTGGCCAGTTCCATATGCGGAATAAACGTGTCCAGAATGTTCGATGGCAAAGTTATTCCTAAAAGTGCATCTTTGGAATGTTGTGTAGCCGTTGGTTACGTGCACAGCACCAGCGATTAACCCCACGTTTCCCTCAAAAATGTTGTCTTCAAATAAAGCATGAGTTCGATAGCTCCACTGAGGATGAGTTTCTTTCCTTTCCGCTCTTTTGACACATCCTGTACTTACGACTTTATCACGAGGTGTGAGGACCGTTATCGCACCGGTCGAGGTCTCGTAAATATCGCCTTTCCACGCATATCGTTGGAAACATATACCATTCCGAAAAACTGAGTTTTGTATTTGTAAAGTTTTGTTGCCTTTAAATAACAAGGATAAAACGTTGCATGGTCTCGATTCAAATGTGACATTGTTAATTTTAATAACTGCACTGGAACTATTTAGTACATCCAAAGGCCTAATAATGATATAGAGCCCGAAGTTTTTATGTGTCCTTTGACTGCTCTTGAAAATTGTGTTCTCGATGCCCAGCTCTACACGGGCTGGATCCTTTGTATGTGCCAAGATATCAAAGCTGTTCTCAAGGAAGCTGCAGTTTGAGATAGAAATGCGGAATGGGCGAGTATCAGAAGGTCCTTTTGGATATAACCTTAGTATTTGGAGTGAGTACGCAAATGAAGCTAAAACAACGTTTATCAGTTTGATGGAGAACTGGGGACTCATCCACAAGGCACCACCGTGACGATCTCGATCTGTGACCCATTGGTTAGAAAAAACAGTGTTTTCTATCAATACGCTTCCTTTAGCTTGCGCTTTATGGGCTCTGATTACAACAGCGCTTCTTACATGTACTTTAGCGTTGACCAGAAATTTGCAGCCAGAAATAAGCACGTCAGTTTCGCCACCCGTGTTTGATATCATTAAAGCTTTAGGTGCTGATGATATGCCGTTTTTCCACGAAGAATCAGTGATGGCCACTTTTCCATTAGATAAAACGATTCTGACAATGTAGCATTGTTGTTTGAAATTAAAGCAACCCCACACTAACATCTCTCTGATGCTGGCATAAAACTTGTGCGTTGATCGGTTTTCCAACTTTGAAGAATCAAGGTCGCCAACCAAAACTGCACATCCGTACATTTCTGCTGCACATTCGGTGAAGTTAATCCTTGTCATGTTAAGAGTTAAAATTCCGTTTTTACTATGAGTAAACAATGCGCCACCACCTTTAGCTATGTTCCTACGAAACTCGCTGTTGAATATGACCACTGACCCGTGTGCTGTCGAGTTAAAAAATATCGCTCCCTCTCTTTCCTTTCGAAGACGCTGTCCGACAAACGACGAGTTGTGGATTTCCGCTTGGGCTTCCTCAGAATGAATCTTTATACATCGCAATAAATGGTTGTGAGAACATCTTACGTTGCTGAACATAACACGTGTTTTCTTTGTATTAGAATTGTACAAACTATTCACCACGTTTTGTGTTTTTCCACCAGTGGATGCCTTGACCAAATCAGAAAGAGTATTGTTGAACAATCTGACATCATCATAAACCTCGCTGGTCACAGCTGATGGGAGATCAAGGTTCATAAAGTACCCAACGTTATTGACAGATGTGATGTTTAAGCAAGATATTTGGACATGTATGCTGCTGGATGGCAGCGTGGTTTGTGAGCGAATGGTCACTACACCTGTTGGAAACCGCTGTTTGTGAAATCCATTTGCCATAAAAGTCGTCTCGCTGATATTTAAAGCAAGAAGTTGATCCTGGTTTGAATCTTTGTGGTACAAAATGATTTCCACACATGAAATGTTGTTGTTAAAGAAAAAAGAGCCATGAATATTTAAATGCCTTCTTGCATTATCTGTTATGTGAATTCTCAGAGCACTGGAGGTATCTTGAAAAGAGCAGTTGAAATTTTGAAATCAGAATCCTGAAACAATAGTGGCGTTTGCCGAAAAACAACACGAAATAAAACAATAGTTGTTGTCTGAGTACTTGACTTGTCAAAATACAAGCCACTAGGGCAAGAAATGTATGGTGTGGATTTCAGACCAATCAAACTCAAACTTTTCTGAATGTTAATATTTAGATGTTGCTCATGCGCCATTGAAGAGTTGCAGTGGTAAGGCATTCGCTCGGTTCCAGTACCATCCAGGTAAATATGTCCGCCCCAATCTACTTGATGGATTCCCATCGCAATGGACTGACATGGGTGAGTGATTGTACCACATCTTTCACAATCATTTCCTTCCAGAGAAACATAGACTTCTGTGTGACTATGATGCTGTACAGCTAAGAAAAAATATAGACAATACTGACTAGTATGGTTTTGCCTGATTAACTCGCAGCAGTCGGGGCCTGTAGAAATTTCTATTCATCTCTATAGCTTTAGGGTAAAATTTATAGTGGTTTCACAGTCTGCATCAAATGGTGGAAACATTTGTTGGGTAACCCGTCTACAAGACATTTCAGATCTATTTAATCCTTGCAATTTTTTTGCAATGCATGATGAAAAAAATATCCTCTTCATTGTGGTCTTAAGGTTGATATAATTTAATTTGATGCAGAAATGATGAACAAAAATTCCGAATTAAGTATAATTACGGTCTAGGCAGAGGCTGGGTTACAGCAAGAAAAAATCAAACCGGGATAGTTCCATCACAAAAACACCTGGAAATAACCGTCTTTAATTCAGTTACTTATAATAAAAGAGGGTTTTTTAACTGACTTATATATTGAAAAAATATCTCCACACGTAATCAATATTTTGTTTTGAAAATATTTACAAGAAATAAAAGGAAGATTTCAGTTTCGGGCGTCTTAATATCCAACATATATTGGTCGCTCTTGTTGACACAATACGAAATCATCTAGCTTCCAAAATCAAATCTTGATTTCTAAAAGGAGACGTGCAACTATACAGGTAGATAAAACAAACCCTTTGACTCTGAACACCGAACTTGCAAGCATATTTTTCGAACAATGATAAATTTTACAATGTAATTTGCTTTCTTGATCCTCCAAGGGACGCAAAATTCGCCTTAAACAGATGTTGAGCAGAGTAAATTTACAACTACAAGTTTCTTTTGAAACATATATACCTGATTTCCTGCTTAACAACATCAAACTCCAGAGCAGACTGACTGCTATAAAAATCTGTGAACATCGTGCCATCTATGAAACTAGAAGATCCTAGAAGCACGCCAAGGAACTTTGGGCCCGGCGAAAATAGTTCCTTCCAGTTTATATTCAAATTACATTTGATTTATTCCAAAAATTGAGAAACGTTGTCGTGACTTCTCGCGACTGGAAAACGAAATGAACAATTTTTTTCCCCTTTTCAGTAATAGTTATATTTATTTGATGCATAAATTATCAATGATCAACAGCAACCCCTGGAAGATGATTTCATTTTCTAGCATTATTTTTAGAGTTGAGAGCACTAGCCTGGCTGTTCGAAAGTACAGAGCCTATCGAAGAGTACTAGAAATCCCGATTTATCGATCCTCGTAGGGAAACGAGGATTCGTTCGAGTAAAAAGACTTCGAGGTAAAATTACAGTGCAGCAAATCCAAGAGAAACCATTTTTAGTTCGTGTTTTCTCGATGTCTGAGGAAGGGTGGGCTCAAGAAATGGAGATTCCACCATTACTCGTTTTATTCAGTTTCAACTGATATGTAACAGGTTCACTGTCGGCTGAGGAATCGCAATTTTTACCCTCAAGGGGTACGAAAACGTCATTTGTCTTGAATGTGGCACCCAATTTTCGTTTCCCTCGGAGGTTCGAGAAAATGGTATTCTATTGTATTTGCACGCCTTGCCACAAATAAAGGTTCTGAAGGCAAAAATCCCGTTTATAACATAGAGGGTAAAATTACTGTATTCTCATTGGCCGAAACAGTAGCCTCCTACGCAAACGCTCATTTGGCTCGTCAACCAATCTTCCTCTTCCACGCCATGTACGAAAGAAGAAGATTGCGTGACGATCTCAAAGGGCGTCTGCGCAAAAAATAGAGGTCATTTTTTCTTAAATTTCCCTGCTCGGAGGGATTACTTTGAAGTGACTGGCTCTCTCAGGTCGCTAGGCAACGGTAAAAACTGCTTTGCTATTGTTTTACAGCAATGACATCTCTTTTCGAGAAGATTGATGATGACTTTATGGCCGAACTTTGGGAAATGAGCGAAAACCTAAACACTAAAAAAAGAACAAAAAAAACAAAACACTAGAAGAAGCGGAAAAGTGGAAAACCGACCGAAAGAAACCAAAGTGAACGGCCAGTTTCACACTTCCAAAATCGTTCACCTGCTGGACCTGGCACAAGAAAACTCCAATGGGTAAAACTACTACCATATCTTGGAAACTTCTAAATATCCCCTCAAATATCTGGATATTTGTGGAAAGGCCTAGAACACCTCTGGCAAGAACCTCGCAGGCAGAATCTTCATTCCCTGGCCTGGATCAGGAGTCGGGAGTCCAAAAATTGTGTCAGACTTCCAGGACTTCTGGTTGAATTGCCCAATTGACCTAGCCAATGTCGACTGGACCCCAAAATCTCTGTGGCCGGCTCTTGGTCAAGCGGTTGGGTTGCCGATAACCCGCGTGGCAGACTAGGTTGATTGATGTCTACAAGTCCTACAACTGTAGCTGACTTAAAAACGTGGAAGGGGGCGAAGAGTGTCAGTTTTCCAGGCGCTAAAATAAAAACGTTTGGAGTAAAGCCTTAGGAGACCACGCCGGAAAATGGAGAGGACGTTGGGTTCTATTAGATAACGAAAAAATCATCCAAAGCCGTAGAATCGCGAAAAAAATTCAATTACAAACAAAAACCGCATTCAAAATCGTCAAAACGAATAACTTTTCACATTCCAATTAGTAAAACCCTAATCGATCTGATACAATGGAGCATAAAGGGTAAACTACAATAATTTCATCACAGTATTTGTGAATGCCATAGCTGGTATCTGCATAAATTATCGGCTTTATTTCCACCGCTCTCGCGAGCCCAGTCTTTGCAGTCTCATTATCGTAAAGCAGCTGGTAATAGAGCCTGGTTAAATGAGGAAAATTCGCACAAAGTCCTCTATAGGATTACAATTTTGCAGTCGCAAAAAGCTGTAGCTCTGGAAACTTCCATCGAAAATCCTTCATCTACCACTTCCATTTCAGAACTAAGAACTGAATGTTTGGAGATTTGATCGGAGCGTTGAATCAATCAGTCACGTGTGACCTGTTATTTGGTCGAACATGCGATTGCACATGGGAAGCTAACCGGTACAATAATTGCATTTCGCGGCTATTCGAGATCAGTGCAGGCGCTGAGATCGAAGAGAAACCGAAACCCAAATAGGAAAAAGCAAACGCCACATCGGATACCATATCCGAAAACCCGCTAGTATTTTTGACAAAAATCGAAAACCAAATGCGAAGAAACAGAAAATCCGCAAACCGCAATGAACACCAAACCCGAAAATACCAAAGCTCTCCTCTATAGTACAAGGTATTCTGGTTAGGTATGTACAGCACCGCAAATGATGCCCGACCGCAAATGATCCCCAAATTGGACCG